GTGGCCAAGAAGGCCAATGGTATCCTGGGTGAATGAAGAAGAGTGTGGCCAGCAGTCCAGTGGAGGTTCTCCTCCCTCCTCTACTCTGCCCTGGTGAGGCCACATCTGGAGTGCTGTGTCCAGTTCCGGGCTTCCCAGTTCAAGAAAGACAAGGAACTAGTGGTGAGAGTCCAATGGAGGGCAATGAAGATGAGGAGGGCACTGGATCATCTCCCTTATGAGGAAAGGCTGAGGGAACTGGGTCTGTTCAGCCTGGAGAAGAAAAGACTGAGAGGAGATCTCATCAATGCTTATAAATACCTTAAGGGTAGTGTCAAGAGGATGGGGTCAGACCCTTTTCAGTGGTGCCCAGTGACAGGCTAAGGGGCAATGGGCACAAGCTGAAACTCAGGAAGTTTCATCTAAATATGAGGGAGAACTTCAATACCTTGAGGGTGGCAGAGCACTGGAACAGGCTGCCCAGAGAGCCTGTGAGTCTCCTTCTCTGAAGATATTCAAAACCCATCTGGACACAATGCTGCACAACCTGCTGTAGGTGACCCTGCTTTGGCAGGGGGGCTAGACTAGATGATCTCCAGAGGTCCCTGCCAGCCCCAACCATTCTGTGATTCTCCAACCTCCAACTCAACTCTTCAGCCTCTTGACATAGCCCAGTGTACATAAGCTAAATACTCATTCTTCTACCTTTTTATATTTATGGTTGCCCTGAAATTAATATTCCAAAAGCCACAAAGTACGCTTCCCAAGCACCAAAAATAATACTTAAAAGTAAAGTCTCTTCTGAACTATCCATTTAAAAATACTACTCACTTAACTTACCAAATTAGTGCAAAACAATTAAAAAATCAAATGATGATTTTAAATTATATAACCACACCCTTCATTATCATTCTGGAATTCAGAAAAGCACAAAAGCGACAGCAAAAGATTCCTGCAAGAACAGACTATTTATTTACCTGATTTCAATAAACAGATACCTAAGTAAAATGTCTTTTCATCTAACGCATGTTACCTGCTCTCAGCAAAATTTCATTTCTTTAGCTTAAATTTAAGGGAATCAAAGATATTTACCTCTCTAGCAGCACAGTCATGAGGAGCCTCTTCTTTATTTACTTTCCCTTTTGGAAATCCCCAACCAGACTTTGCTAAATAGCCCTGAACCAAAAGAACCTGCAAAATAAAAAGGAATGCAATTGTCAAATGCCCACTATTCTAACCAATTTCTATTAAATGTCTTCCCTTCACCATCCCCTGCTTCTCCAAAAAGATACTTTAGCCTGGAGGAAGGAACCCATTAGGGTTTGTGTTCTAGCAAGAACTGCGGAATTTTTTATAGGATCATCGAATTTAGAATTAAAAAACCAAAACTGAGTAGGAAAGCAAGCGGAAGTGTGTTTCCTGTCTCCTACATCGTGTTTCTGTACACACACACAGTGTCAAGTACCTGTCAGGTCTTCGTGAATCTGAAGCACTTCTTTTTTTTCTCCGGATGAAAAACGTAAACAATAAAAAGATTAATTCTGCCAGCATATGCCATCCTTCCCTCTAGCCCTTCACAACTATTTCCATACTTACATTTTCAAGTGTCTCATCAAGAATAATTGCACCATACGTTGGCACTCCCATTTTGTATTCCTTCCACTCATCTAAAACCTTCTGTACATCTTCACCTTGAGGCAGTAAAAAAGGGCAGTGATTGAAGAGTACGGCAACATGTTAAGGAAGATAAACTTAAGCATCCAGTTTCAAATCACATGCAGACATACAAAAGATACCCATTCAACACTTACAATAACCACACTCCCTCCCCTAAGTGCTTTTAAGATATATTCTCTTGGAAGTAAAACATATTATGAATAATCGTGGTTTAACCCCACCTAGCAACTAAGCACCACATAGCCACTCTCTCACTTCCTTCCCACCAGGTAGGATGTGGGAAAGACTCGAAAAAAAAGTAAAACTTGTGGATTGCAATAAAGACAGTTTAATAGGACAGAAAGGAAGATAATAATAATATAGTAATAATAATGTAACAATAATAATTATTATAAAATAATTAGAAAATACAACACAAGTGATACACAAGGCAATTGTTCACCACTTGCTGCCCTCTGCCCAGCCAGTCCCCGAGCAGCAATCTGCCCCTCCTGGCTAAGTCCTCCCAATTAATATACTGGGCGTGATATCATATGGTATGGAACATTGCTTTGGCCAATTTGGGTCTGCTGTCCTGGTTGTGTCCCTTCCCAACTGCTTTTGCCCCTCCAGCCTTCCTGCTGTCTGGGCATGCGAAGCTGAAAAACCCTTGACTTCATATAAACACTACTTAGCAGTAACTAAAGACATCAGTGTGTTATCAACATTATTCTCAATACTAAATCCAAAACATAACACTATACCAACTACTAGGAAGAAAATTAACTCTAGCCCAGCCAAAACCAGGACAATAATCCATTACCAAACTCTAAAGGTCAGAAAGCATCAAGTAATTTGATAATTCTAATACACGCCAATTAAAAAAAACCCCAACAAACAAAAAACCACCATGAAAATAGATGGCACAAGGCTGCCTGTTGGAACATCTCCTCGAATTTTTCAAGAAGTATCCATATAACAGTTATTTTGAATATGTATTATTCTTAGACACATCTTTTTTCATTTTGAAGTGAGAGAGACAGACAAAAATACAGTTTCATCTCCTGCTTGAAGCAAATGGAGATAAATTTTTCCCACAACCATTGTTAGACTACAGTACAGAATCTGTACTTAAGTATTTACTAAGCAAAAAAATGATTTGTAATGGCATCAGGTTACAGAGATCTAAATTCTAATACATTTTACAAAAACTCACCATGCAGAGAAAACATGAACAACATTTATAACTCTAAAACTTTGAGAGTATATCTGCAAGTGCTTAATAAAAGTATTAATATTACATATTACATATAAAATTATAGTACCAATTAAAAATATTCCATAGCAGAGTACTTAAAAATATGACACTGCAGTAGAACTATTATTTCTGGCAAATGCAAGCTGGAGGACAGATGTTATGAACAAATAACAGCTATTACATTGTATTTTTTCCTGTACTGCCTACAATTACTAGAAGAATGCTGTTAGTCTGAAAATACATTTATAATTAAAAACATACCTAAAATAAATAACTGCATAATATCAAGCAACAGAAAATTATCATATTTTTACAGTTTATTGTTAAAATAAAGGCTGTAGAGTTTCAAAGTAAATCTCTGTTATCAAACCAACAGAGAAGTACATTGTATACTGAAACCGCATATAACATTACCATGAAAGTTAGAAGCAATACTCCAATCCCACATCAAGAACATATGGGAAAAGGTTAAAACTAAAACAGTTGCTGGATCAAAGTCATGAGTTTTTCTCCAGCAAGGACTAGATAGTGCATGTTCCAGGGGTCCTTGTAAGCAATGAAAAAAGCAGAGGCCAACCACATAAATTCAGTAAAAATGCATCCTCTCCCCTACCAACAGAACTGTTTCTAGGAGCAACTACTAGTACTTCCAACAAGTACATACTACTGCCCATGGGAGAACACATACCACTTTCACCTGTGTTAATGCTTCTGTCACTATTTATTTGGAAAGGGATCAAATTAAGGAGACAAGACACCACGAAGAGCTCCATCTTTGAAACTCACCTTGTCTGCCAAAGTGCAACCATGAGGAAAAATCCCCAAGGATCAGAAATTGCCTGTTTTCCATAGTTCTTTACCAGTCTGAGAAACACCTCTTTTGTGGATGCCACAAAATTATGGAAGCAACAGATAAAATGACATACCTCCACATGAAGGGAGATCTTTCTGCTGCGAGTATGAAATTTCATTAACAATATTCAGTTTGCACTTTATCCACCAAGACAGAAAACACTCACAGTAATGAAAAGGATATCAGCTTTAGCGAAGTCTCTTATCCCACACTGAGGTAATCCTGGTGTGTTTTGCATGTAGAAATCCAAGTAAAACCAATGGGCAAGTTCAATCTGAAAACACACTCTGATTGCATTGTCTCTCTCTTCACTCGGAATGTGCAAAATAAATCGGCTGCCAGGAAAGAAAGAGTAAGATTAGCCAAATCTATTGATTTAAATAAATCTAACAAAAAAAAAAATGCATTGTAACAGTGGATTTCCTGATCCACTAGCACAGAGCAACAGACCACCAGGAAGATGTGGTGCAAAAGGTTTTCACATCAAAGTAAAATACAACTTCTAAAGTCAAGAAGGAGAATGGATCATGATGTTCTTTCACATAAGTCAATTACAATAAACTAAGGAAGTTAACTGTTGTGAAAACAGGGAGGGCAAGGACATCCTACATAAATGGTTATATTAACACCATTTTTACATGTCCAATAAAGAACATCTGCAAACTCTGATAACAAATGTCACTGCATTTTTTTCCAGACTCAAATTAAACATGGCTATGTATTTTCACTAAAAAACAGAGTAAATTATTAATTTATGCAGCTTTTAAAATTCGATATGATCCTATTAATTTTCTCAGTCTGAAACGGAACATAGACAATTGGTTTATTTTTCAAGTCTACTTTACGCTTTAGCTCAGATACTGGCACACAAACACGGAGTCCCAGAGATACAAGTGTAAGTAGCACTGTGTGATAACTTATTTTACTTAAGTAGAAGAAGCCTTATTTATTTGTTGGTAAAATCAAGAACAACAGAATTTTCTTTTTAGAAATTTAAGGTCATACACCCCATTGAACTTAAACCATTTGACAGATCTCTTACATTCAACTCCTGTGTACCACCAGCTAAATTCCAAAAGCACATGATATCATTGCCAGAACCAGAAATACTTAAGACATCTTTATGTAAAATTTGACAAGTAAAAATTGTTAAGGCATGTCAAAAGTGGTTGCCTCTCTGAGCCACTCTGGCCAAGGACTGCCTCCTGCCTGGCTGTTGGAGCCTAGCCCCAGGGTCCCTGCCTAGGCCGACGGACATGGCTGCTACTTTCCCTTCGGCAAGTTCAACGTGTAGCGAAGCCTAGCATGTATCCCAGGAACACACACAGGACACTAACACAGCTGGTCACAGAGCCTGCCACAGACACAGTGCTGCCTTCAATAGCACCTATGTACAGGACTCACACAAAACACAAGCACAGGGAACCAAGTCCCCTTCTCTTCTTTGGCTTGCAGAGGCAGAAGGTAACTACTGCAGGCATACACTTGCCACTCTCCAGGTTCTCAAGTACACACATATTCACAGGTGCCCTAAGTACCATCACAGTTTCCTCTGTCCACCCAATACCCCTGCCCAGATCCCAGGCTCTCATAGCGACCACACAGGTCCCTGCTTCGCCACCAGCTTGAAGTTTGCCAGTGAGTATATGTGCACAACGGGTTTGGGGAACACTCCTCCACTAGCCCAGCAGCTGGCACCAGGCACATGGGCTGTGACCCACGGTCCTGCTCCAGCCACTGGTGCTCTGTGCCTCACTCACCTCACTCATCCAGTTGCCCCGCAGTAGCTGGTTTTCAGGACACTCACCATTCCCACCCCAGAGGCTGGAAGCTGAGACCCCGACCCATGCAAGTAGCTGGCACTGGGACATCCTCCCTCACTCCAGTAGCTCACACCCCGTCCACTCACACATATAGCTCTCATCAGTAGCTGGCGCTTCATCCCTGCAGCACACATGTACACGGGGTAGAGAGTGAGATTATGCAGAAAAAAAATTAAGAAAAGATTTAGTAAGAAGATGTAAGAAGACAGGACAGACTGTGGCAATCAGGTGAAAGGCTACACTAGGCAAGCGTACTGACTGGCACAGTTTTACACATAACCAGCCCCTCTCATACTCCTTTCTGACTACCTCTGCCTCATCTATCCCTGTTCCCCTTTCCCTGCCGCACCCCTTCCAGCCCCGTGTGTGGGATCCCCCCTGGTTTACAGCCTTACCAGATGCAAAGGCCATGCTGATCTTCCCAGAAGTGATGCCTGTGGTTTCTTCACAGCCCATCAATTAGCGTGACTGGCAAGTTTGTTTCTTGTCATTGTTTCCACTTTCGTTTTCTTTCATCTGTGTCTGTACGTTTTTGGTTCTCATTTCCCTCTTTTTCCCTTAGTTTCCCAGGAACAGGTCCCCGCTCACATAAACTTGCAGGAATGAACATTCCCACACACCCTCATCAGTCAGTGGCCAGGTTTCGTTCTCACCACTGGCCCCCTCAGGTTTGTATCCCTGGATGTTTTGTTTATGGCGTCCTCTTACTATTATCCTGTTTTCACACTGAAAGAGGTCCTTGATCAGATATCCTTAAAGAAGCAGGTGCTCTCCCTTAAATAAACAGACTTATTCACTTCAACAATAGTATTTTCCTACTCACCAGTTTTCAAATTGGCAATACCATGCCCCAACTGCTCTTTTCTTTTTGAAGGCTCTATTACTGCTGAAAATAGCCCTTACATATAAAGCTGCTGTAGATTAAAGATAAAAAAATAAAAGCCTATTTTATTTTACAACTAGTGGATGATGTTTTTTTGCCACAGGACTGCAGCTGAACATAAATCTGAAGATACAACATGTAGAAGTAGTCCCAAGGAGGAATAAGAACATGACAGTATTAGGTTTAGAGTAACAAGAGTAAAACCAATTAGAACACTACTTATTAGTCAGAAAGTTAACTCTGAACTTACTTAAGAGTGACTGAAGCGCTAACAACGGGCATCACTAGGTTGTACAAGGTACAGGTGCCCAGGTGCTCGCAGTGGAGGGCTACATGGTGGCCTCCATTGAGGAGGCCGGGGCTGCTCCGTGGTGGATACAGCTGACTCCAGTGGACCCACTGCAGGGCACGGCTGAAGCCAGCAGTCAATACAGTGGCACCCCTAGGAAAGTGCCAAAGACACAAATGCCAGACAGCCAGTGGAAGAGAGAGAAAGAGCGGAACAGCAGTGCAAACGCCAAGGTCAGTGAAGAAGGAGGGAAAGGAGGTGCTCCATGGTAGAGCAGATGTCCACACTGCAGTCCATGGAAGATTCCATGCTGGAGGAGATGGTTATTTCCAGAAGGAACTTCAGCCCATAGGACTGACCCCACACACTGGATCAGGGGTAAAGCATGAGAAGGAAGGAGTGGCAGAGACAGCCTTATCGCAACCCCCATTCCCCATCCCCCTGCACTGCTCAGGGGGGAGGAGCTGGAGGAGTCAGGAATGAAGGGGTGAAGTTGAACTTGGGACAAATGTGGATGTCAGGGAAGGTGGTGTTTAACTTTTTTTGTCTTTATTTCTCTCTATTCAAATCTATTTTAACTGGCAACAAACTAAAATTTTCCCCAAGTAGAGTCTGTTTTACCCATGATGGTAACCAGTAAAGCAACTCTCCTGTCTCATCCTGAACTGTAAGTTTTTCCATCCTATTTTCTCCCTCATCCTGTTGAAGAGGGGAAGTGCATGGCTGGGTGGGCACCTGGCTGCTGACCCAGATTAACCCACCACAGTCCTCAAGTCAAAACATCAGGTAACAGCACACGCTTATAGGAGAAAAACAGCACCAATAAGCCCCAAAACCTGCATTAAGACTCTGTACCTCCACTTACTTATTCAGTAAAGAACAAATCAGCAGCACAAGAAAGCATGACAAAAAAAATGATGTGGATACCTGTGACTTATTTAACAGAATGGGTCGGAGTGGTCCTACTACTGAAGCTTAAATACACAATAACTTACTAGAACTAGAATAAGTTGTATCCTGGCATTGTGTGATTCTAAAACTGCCTAGGAACTCAACAAATGTTTAAAGACATTATATACCTGGCTTTAGCTTTCAACTTTAGTTTTCACATGCTGGCAAGAAACATTTTACTCTCTGAATATGAATTCTAAATGTAGACGTCTCTTAATTTAGTCTATCAGCAGGGGAAAAACTGTGCCAGTTTGGAAAAAAAAAAGTTAAATGAAAGTGCATTAGACTAGTATTTTCAATCTTATTTTTGTTATCCTTAGGAGAAGGGGTTTGCAATGAAAACATTTAAAAATAATCACCACTACCATTATCACATACTCAGTTCTCATACAGATCTCTACAGCTGAATATAAAATCCTACTTGTTATTTTATACTGTTGGAAAAAGTTGTGCGTTTTGTTGGGGGGGTTTTGTTTGTTTGTTTCGGGAGTTTTGTGGTTTGTTTTTTGCTTTGGTTTTTTAAGAGTTAGGTTATACTGATTCTCTAGTACAGGTTTCAATGCTGTATAATTTCAGTATTAGACTCCGTGAAGTTGGCTATGAATGTTTGACTCTGAACTGCAAGTAACTTTATAGGTTGAGCACCACAGAACAAACAAAGCCCAGGGCCTGAGAGCCCTTCACTTAATGTATTTGATTTAATAAAGTCAAAGTGCAAAAGAATTTTTAGTAACATGCATTAAAACATTCTACATTTTCTACATTTAAGCTTAGCTATAACCTATATGAAATTATTATATATTCCACTGCTCACAGTGTGGAAAAACACTAATGTTAATATCAGAGAGAACATCCACAAGTACATATTAAGGCTGTAGGGTTTAGGGATTTTTTTTCTTCCAGAAGAAACAAGTCCACTAAATTTCCCTTCTCCAATAAAAAACTTAAGTTGATGCTGAATGCTACAGTTGCCACTAAAGAGCCAAACTTTACCCTCAGCAAAATACATGATCACACAAATACTGCAAGCAAAACTTAGTAAAAGTAACAGCAAGCCACAAACCCAGTCTAAGAACATAATCCAGACCCTCCTAGGAGTTCATGTATCTCAAAACTGAGTTGCTTTAAGTGACTACAGACAACAAAAATTTGGAATCTTATTAACTATACGATTGAACAGTATTTGTCAAGTTAAGATCAAAATTGGTTACTACAAAAAGAAATCCAGTTATCCTGCACAGTACCTAAAAACTTGAAAGCTTTAACTCATAACTGCAAAAATAAAATAATTGATATGGTAAAGGTTATCCAGCAGTACTTCATGTTTTTTTTTAAACCTATCAAGCTTGACACAAACAAACAAACCACCACACCCACCCCTTAAGAGATACAAAATTAAGATACCAGCTAAGGAACCTTTGTATGCCTTTGGAGCTAGCAACAGCCATGAGAATTACCTGCAGGCATTAAAACAGCTGTAGCTGCCCCAAACAGTGGAATTATTATTTAGACTAATCGGCTGAATTAGTTGGAACAGCTGCAAGTGATCTGAGGACCTACACATGAGCCTCTTTGAGTAGCCTCTGTGTTGAACCTGCCTGAGTCTCTGCCTAGGCAGGAGCCCCTGTGAGGAATCTAAAGAAAGTGGTTCAGCTTAAAAAATCCAAACACATTTAAATTCAGCAATGCATTATGATGATAGCATTAGCATCAGCTCGCAGTGGTCTTTCTGTCATAAGGAAATGTATCAAGCAGGTAAAATGGCAGATAAAATGAGAAGTACTGATGATTGCATCTCCTGCATACACAAACTTTTAACAACTATGAGTTTTCTGCAGAGAATCCAAGCCTTTTGCTTCAAGACAAAGGAAAATATTCCTGTCCAAAGACAAAGTACAGAAGTCTGACAGATATTCTAGCACTCTCAAGATATAAATAAAACCAAGAGTTCTGTTTCGTGGACATCTAAGGTTTAACTTAGCTTTTTGGTTTTCAAATGCAAACAAAAAAAATCCTCACACTAAAAAAAAGTAAAAATCTCAAACTACTGGGCAAGCTTGACTTGAAAGCAGATTTATTTCATTGTTTAGCTTAGCAAGAGTAATATGAATGCTTGCCATCTCCTAAAAAGTCACTAATAGTTATTTAGATTTGCAGCTCACACTGCCACAATTCATATAGAAAGATACTAGAGAATTTCTATGGGTCCTGTAACTTTCCAAACCTGTTATACTGAAGTTATAATTTATTTTAGTACTGAAGATTTATTTGTTCACAGAATTTAAAAAAGAAAGTATAGGTTGCACTAGAAAATATTTACAATCTTCTCAATAACTGAGTATGAAAAATTGTTTGTCATTTTCTACCAAAATTTCCACTAATATCATACATAGATTGAAAAATTTGGGAACCGGCAGATATTTTAACAACTCATTTTTATAGTCAGCCACCTGAAGCACGGCATCACTGATCTTCCACTTATTTGTTTACCTTCTCCCTTGAGCTAAGGCCTATGCAGGCCCTATCACCCCTCCAGTGCACACCAGAAGCCTTTCTCTTTCCCAAAGGAGAGCTCCTCTGCTCCTTTCAGTTGTTCTGTCCATGTCCAAGCAAGGCAAAATATTTGAAGCACGGCTGATCTGTTAGCACTAGTGAAAGTCAACAAGGTGAATTAGGAAAAGATGGAAGAGCGAGACAGATGGTAACTACATGCCCCTGATCTACCATTCTAAGGTTTTGGGTTTTTTTTATTAAAGCCACATGACTACATTCATACAATTATAAGACAAAACACCATTTCAAAGGTAGAAGATGACAGCACCTCAGAGGAACACAGTAAAACAGTGGGACGGACCCTATAACAATGAAAGATCTGAGTACTCATGTACCCTTCTATCAGTTACCCCACAGGAGTGGCACTAACAGGCTATTTCAGTACCATAAGCATTGTGATTCCCCTCTGGATTTTCTGAAGAAGTCTTAAAACCCACTTCATACGCAAGCAGGGATCTAGAAGATAAGTCCCATCTCACTATAGGGAGCCCAAAGGAGACACGATGGAAACACGAACATGCTTCAGAGGTCAGACTTAAAGAACTGAAAATTTACTTGTGTATTGCAAACTCTGACTCTTGTGTTAGATATATGACAAAACGCTACCGGGTGGAGCAGTTCTAGCTTCCTGTGCTATTCTCACTTCTAAGCATTTTCACTCATTTGGAAACAGTAATTCCACGAAGTGGACTATGCTTCGTCTCTAGTACGCTTTCCGTCTTGTACATAAATACTTCAGAAGGGGTCCTTTCGAGGTGGTAAGACAGGATTATTTCATGTCAAATATCACATCCAGTTTGGGGCATCAAATTCTGGGGAACACCCGGCTTCTTCCCCGGCGCCAGGGTAGCCCCACGACAGGTTCTGCCGACAGTGTCGACGGCAGAGGAGAGCCGGCGGGCACCCTTCCCGTCCCGCCGGGACAGCTTCCCCCGGGGGGGCGGGGGGGGGAGGCGGCGCCTTGGGCTACGAAG